AGTTTTTTCTAGGTAGGTTAAACTTGCTCTTGTGGGCGTACAGTATACATTTACAAAGTATCGTACTTTCAGTAACTTTCAGTGACCACTAAATGGCCAATGTATTTTGCCAACAAATTTCTCTCTGAATTTAAAATGGGCTTTGCTAAGCTTGAGTAGTGTGTATGTAAGCAATGTCCACATCAATTACAAAGTTGATATGGGTTTCTTACTAACATATCTCTAACAAAACAGTGGACTCTTTCTCTATGTTTAAGTCAGGGAAACTTACAGAAAGAAAGAAAGCTAACAACAAACAAAAGCTAACCTAGCGCTAGGGGTGGGAATCTCCAGGCACCTCACGATTCGATTCGATTACGATTCAGAGGGCTGCGATGCGATTATAAAATGATTATCGATGCATCTCGATGCATCCTTTTTTTTTTATATAGCATTTATATTTTCTCACTGTGTAAGCTCAAGTTTCGAGTTCAAGTTTATTTGTCACTTGCACAACATGTCAGGACATTTATGCATTGAAATGCTTGTGGTGAGGCTCAGCTAATCACTCTACAGAAAGTAAATAAGTAAAAATAAAAATACAAGAAAAACCAACTGAAATATATTAAATATACACAAAATATACACCAAATATATACAGAATGTAGAGGCAATATACATTTTAAAGTGACTAAGTGACTCGGTGTTATTGTTATTTAAAGTGACTTGGTTCTTTTAAAGCAAAGTATTTGTAATGATCCATAATGAATTTACTTCCAATATGTGTGCAACATAGCGCGAAAGACCTGTTTCGCAACGACTGAGGACCGGCGTGCAGACTGCAGGTCACATAGCAGGCGATGCGTTATTCGCATTTATAAGCAGCGCAGTTGATTTCCTGGTATGTTAAATCTGCAACGAGAGACTGCCACACACTAAAAGTGGCGAAGCTGAAGTCTCCTGTTCCACCTTAAATGGTGCCGCATTTACATTCGGCGCCTCAGTTAGAATTTAAGGTGGAACGGGTAAATTCGAACAAGAAGCTGGAGAATAAGAAGCGACTTCAGCCTCGTAAAACAGTCGAACATTGAGAGACATTTAACTGATCTACGTCTGAGGAAAAGTTTTCTGGTGGAGATGGGAGGAAAGCGGCTGTAGGCGAAGCTTAAAGCACAGCAAAGTAAATCTGCGTTTTCGTTTATGTTGTTTAGCCTACACTAGGACGTTATAACATACTGAGACATACTGGCCATTATATGTTGTGGCTCCCAAGGTGGTTTAATTTTTGTTGAAAGGACAAAATGTTAACATTTGTGTTGTGACTCCTGATCTAACCTGGCTTCTAATGCAGAGGGAGCCGGTCGGATTTCTCACTCATCCAGTAGTGTTTTTGTTATGTGCCGTCACAGACTGTCCGGGCGCTGCACTTACCCACTTCCAAGTTCCGCCTTTTGCGTTCCATCAACATTATGTTATGAATTAAATATTTAGAAAATCGATTTTTGACATTTGTGAATCGATTCAGAATCGTTCACGTCTGCATCGCGATGCATCTAAGAATCGATTTTTTCCCGCACCCCTACCTACCACGCATATCTAAACCATCAAGACACAGCAGGCACCACCTGTTCGCCTGTTTGACTTATTTCTCTCTGTTCGTGATGTGGTTAGTTCTATCTCAGTGACACAGCAGGCTGGGACTGAAAGTTGTCAATCATGCATTCACCGTGCTCAGACAGTTTTCGGATGGGTCTGATAAGCAATGTTTAAGCCATGTTTTATTTTATTTCTATCTTGTTTTTTTATTTGTACTTAATTGAATGTTTAACAGAACACTCAATTTTGGTATCATACAAACATTTCTAATAATTTACACAGTGTTTCAAAACTTCACCTTTCAGGTTTCATAATTTTAAGCTCTTAAACAAGTGACCTCTTATTGCCTGATAGAATGTTTGGTTGTTGTTCAATATAGCATCATATTTCTGAATGTGATTTTCTTATGAGACATTCAAAGAGATTTTATCAGTGCTTTAGTGGCAGGATTTCCACCCATGTAGGTAAATCCACATGACTTTAATATTACCCAGTTTTATTGACCAAACTGTATATCGGTCAGCCTTAGTCTGTGCGTGTGTGGGTGGGGCTGCGTAACCAGCCCTGTCTCTTGCAGGTTCTCTCCACCCGCTTTTCTTTTAATCACAAAGACGGAGTGGTCCGTTTAGTGTGCTGAGACACACATACATGGGGCGCTCATTAAGCAGGGATTCCTCTTTACCCATGTGGGGGGATTACCCCTGACTGAGGCTAAGACTGAAGCAGAATGTTTGCCGTTGTATCCTGCGCTCCTGTTCCTCTTTGTTCCAGTGTAATCCATTTTGAATACAGTGTGAGCTACTAACCCCTCTACAAATGTCTCCTTTCATCTCATCTTTTCTGTTTCAGGCTGCTGAGACTCCACAGATGGTTCACCGGCCTGCTCCAATTCTGGTGAAGCAATACCAACACAAAGTGGGACCAGGTAAACTCATTGCAAAATACACATGTTGGACAGTGTGTTTATGTTCTAGAAAAGCAGAGAACACATTACGGTTGGCACTGCAGCTGATGAAGTTGTTTTTTTACCTAATTTCATTGCATTACTTTTATATGGTGCAATTTTACTGTGCATCACAATTATGTCATGTTATGGCATATTATTATGCCTAAGTGAATAACAGCCATAGCTGTGCATGATGAATGGGGATAATGCATTAAATACTTAAAATAGTAAATAAGTATAATTTGCTGTGTTTACTGCACAGAAAATTACAGTGAATGTGTTCTCTGAAATATATAAACACACACAGACACCTATCTGAATTCTGCTGAGCTCTCATAAACACGTTGACTCATCAGCTACGTGCTGGATCTGGACTGACACTTCATGAGCTGTCCGCACTGTAACTGCCTCCAATCAAAGGCACATTAGTACAAGCTCTAACAACCTCAGCTAGTGTTTCCCTTTCCTCAGTGCTGTGACACACTGTCCTCTTTGGCAAACTGTGAAGAGAAAGAATGCACAGTTTCATTCACAGTCAGTAGATGGCAGTGTGCCTGTGCGCCTGCAGCTCACACACTTTTCTTTTGTCTTCTTCCTAAGGTCAGTGTGATCACTGTGTGGCAGATTGTCCACTCATATTTCAGTTGTGTGTCCTCCCTGCTGGACCTGTGGGGTTCAGAAATGCTCGAGTCAGCCCTTTAAAACTTATTCAGATGGTTGGTTGGGGGGGTGCATCCTACACCTCAGTGATAGCAGCTTCAGAGAGTGCGTTAGAGGCAGCCAGCGTGAAGTGAGGGAGTGACCGGGGGGACAGGTGTGAATAAATATGTGCATCTCAAACTGATGTGCTGGAGGTGGGGGTCTCTGGGTGCATGTAAGGGGCAGCTGATGTTGTTTTGCGCCTGTGGTTTTTGAATTAGTCAAAGCGGAGCACATGTTCATCTACAGAGAGAGAGAGAGAGAGCGAGACAGAGAAAGAGAGGGGTAGTTTTCTCTACAGGGCATCCTTGAACTATTTAGACACACAGTGCCTTAGTCTAGGTAAAGGATAATGAAGCTTGTGCTGAGGGAGTTTTCTTTCACAGCTTTGGCTATGTTCACAAAAGATGAGCAGCAAAGCCAGTTTGCGCTAGTGATGCTATTGTTTTCCTGAGGAGAGAGCTGTGCTGCTTTACCTTGAAACCACGCTCGAGCATCGCACACCACACGGATGTGCTGCTTTGCTGCTCCATTTTGCTGCCTTGCAGTATAACGTAATATCACGATACTTTAAGATGTTTTTACGATTAATGATGTTTACATTTTTCTGACAACTGATGCGTTGGAAAAGACAAATTAGTGGCACATTTAAAAAATATAAAACTATGTATTCATAATGAAAAACTATGAAAACAGTCATTATATTCAACATTTGAAATACTTGCACTTAAACCAGTTAAACAGGGCTAATTGTACTCTCTTTGTAATCAGTTTTTAAGTACTGACGATGTTCACAACATGTTTGGAAAAGGATATTGTGTTGTAATTTATCACAGTAACTATAAATATTGTCATATTGCCCAGGTCTGTGCCATGCCCAGCCTATTGGTTGTAAACTGATATGGCTATAAACAAAGCCATCCTTTCTGATTGTCCATGCCTTTGTCTAAAGGAAATTTGGATAAGAGGCTGCTGCTGAGTCTGCATTGATGCAGTCCTCACCAAAGACCGCCATAAGGGTGCATAGAGGAGAACCCATTTGATTGCCAAAATAAAAAATGGGATGCCTTACAGCCCCGTGGACCTTGCTTGCAAGCACGATTACACACAGGACCATGAGTGTGCCATTTGGGACTGAGCTGAAGTGCTGTGTATGAGCACTCTTTATTGCTGAGTCTTCGTCTTCACACATCTTTTTGACATAATAACCACAACCAGTAGATACACGTTTTGCTAAAATATGCTCATATGCTCAAAATGTGCTTTCATATGCACACATGTGCACACTAATTACTAATTAGATATGATCCACTTGTGATCCACATGTGATTGTGAACTGCCAAATCAGTCTGAGCAAAAAATCGAAATTGTGCAAAGCAAATGTAGTAGTTTTGAAAGTTAACCTTTTAAATGAACTCCACTAATGTTTGTAATGCCATTAATGCATTTTCCTAGTTGAAGCCATCCATAGTGGTGCGGACTAAAGCTGTTCGTGCCCTACATGATTCTCAGACTGGAGCCCCCTTTGTTCAAATACAACTTTTAGATGACAAGTTGCATTGTTTTGCTGTCTTGATAATATTCCAGCATGATGCCGTAGTAAATTTATTTATCGTACTGAGTCTGAAGTATCATTTGCAAGCAATACACACCACTGATGCTGGCAGTATCATTAATTCAGCAGACTGGACAGTGCTTGTGGAAAACCTGGATAATCAATGAGCAGCAGAAGTAATAGCAACATGGAAAGCTACAGTTGCCTGTGAGAACCTTGACTATAACAAGAATTCACAAGCTGTATGAATGAGAGCTACAAGGCTACTATCATGGAGGAGCTGGAACATCTGACTGTAAATGTGATATACAGTATATGATATACAGTCATTGTAGAGCCAAGATTAATCCATTTTAAATTGAACTCTCAGTTTGAAAGTGCAATTTTCAAATCACAGTAGCCGCTGTTTTAATGACAGCCTACATTTTCAACAACATTGTCTTTACAAGTTTTAAAGAAGCGATAAGTTATTTTCAACTCTGCCTTATAAAGCAACCAGCATGGCAATGTTCTTGAAACTGTGTACTAACACCTACCAGCATGGGAGATGCAGAGCATCTGTACCGCCCCCTGGTGTTGTGGAGAGGCAGTTGCCCTTTTCTGATTTGATAGTGGAACAAAAGTCTATGACTGTGCTGTCAGTATCTCTCAAAAGATGTTGGAGTCAGTGGGAAGTTACTGGCAACTTTAAGAAATGCTTGTTTTTCATCAATGTGCAGTTAACTGACAGTTGTTGTCAAAAACTGGTTTAGACAGTAACAGTCACCTGACCAAGTAACACTTCAGCTACCAAACGCATCGTGCAGGGTTACGTAATGTTTGTTTAAGATCATTATTTCCGAATTGAAATTTAAATCATCCTCAGTCTTTCCTGTCATTTAAAGTAGAAGATGACGTTACTGAGAAAGTGTCAGACTGAGTTTTTCTCCTACTGAAGAGGACCAAGCCCTGTTACATCAATACTAGAGGTGAATGGGTGACTTCTGTTTTTAGATTGTTTGCTGTTGTTCACACCATATGTAGTGGAAATGCTGTTGGCGTGCATGCTAGCACCAAAATACCATTGTACTTCGACTTTTATACCTTTAAAAAATAAACAGCATAAATTTTTATTCATGTCAACAAGGCCTGACAACAAATAAAATATTTGCCCTTACCCTTTCAGCAGAAAACAAGCAACTTCAGTGTCGCTCTTAAGTTCTCCGTCTTTCATGAGGTCTTTCCACTTTTTTCCCCCACAATTTTTTTTCCAAATTATTGAGGCCTAACTTGTTGGTTAAAACATGCAGCCAATATTGCTGTCAGTAAATGTCGGTGATGTAAACTGCATTCACTCAGTGGAAATAATATGATTACTGTGTGAACTCAGCTTTCACATGAGGAAAATAATGTTACTGAATTACTGAAATATTGCTACAACAAATGAACTTCTCTTCAAATAGAATAATTTGAGCAAGTAAAGCAAATGTGATTAATGATGGTGAGCTACACAAAATCATGAGATTAATCTCAATTGAGTATTTTAATCATTTGACAGTCCTAGAATGTAGCCTTCATTGTCACTTTACAAAATACATCTCAGGTATGCACACAGATCTAAACTGTCCCCTTGTGTTTTTTTCTCTCCTTCTCTTATCTTTTTGCTTCTTCTCCTCTAAATCCTAACCCATCACCCTGCTTATACAGCTCACCCACACCAGTCTACTGCTGGAGTCTACTGCTCCACCTTTTTCTCGGTTTAGCCCTGCTGCCACTTGGCCCTGCTGACCTGTTATCACTCTCTCATGGCTCTGACATTTAGCAGTCTAAATGTGCTATCATTTGGGTGTATTCATATGACTGATGTGGTGCGACCTGCCATTGCCATATTAGTTAGTGATGAAGGCCAGTATTCGCCCATGGCTCAATGGATGTGATTAATTCACTACTGTCTTTCTATATGGGAGGCTGTTTGAATGTCAGAGCATTCCGTATGTTGCCGCTTTGGCTCCAAGGATATTTTCGCTTTTCTCTCTTTCAGTGTAATTTGACGCACCAGTGAAAACGGCAGAAAAACCAGGCTTCCACCTGCATTTCAATGCCTCCTTTTATATTTGAAATAGCTTGGACGCTGTGCAGCTTTCTCTCTCCTCTATGTGAGAGTGAAGGGAGTGCTTGCTCTGAACTAAAGCGATCAAGGGCACATGCAGTGCTATTCTAAGGCTCATGATTAGGTTTCTTCTCAATTTCCCTGATGCTCTTCACAGACAGTGGAGATCACTATGATAAGTGCTATATGCATCCACAAAGAGTCCACTGTTATGTCAGATCATTTGCATCTTGCTTCTTGTTTTCCGTAACTGTGGTCACACAGGGCAGGGCATCTGGTTTTATTTACTGTACTGCATTGTCCACGGCCTGAAGCATTCACAATTTTCATGCTCATCTTCTGCACTGTAAATACGTGCTTTTGAACCTGTTTAGTCATGCACTCTATCCAGACAAAAGCCGGTCAGACAAATACAGTCTGTGTGCCAGCAATCTGCTCCTCTGCCTATTCTACAGATGGGCCGATTGTGTTCTTTAAGAAAGGCTACAGTGTGCTACCGTGTGCTCCAATCAATGCAGACATGATTTGGCCAGTGTGTGCCAGTCACCCAGCTGCGCTCTCAGATAGCTATCTCTCTATTTACTGCTCGGACAGAGGGAGCGTGTAGAATGGCCCCTCTGTTCAGCCCCAGTTCAG